TAATTTGGACCATACTTTTTATTATTGTGCTTTGTGAAATCATAAATGTAAATTTATAACTGTTGAGATTTATCTTTTAAAAAATATCAAACTTATTTTAAAAAAAGGGCAAATATGAAAGAAAAAAAATAAAAATTCAAACATCCGTCTTAAACTTTGAACAATAAAAAAAATCCTAAAAATTTAATTAATATGGAATAGAGAGAATATTCTGTCAATTAAATAGTATAGGTAGATTTTTGGGGGGAAAGGAGTAAATGAAGTATTAATAGAAAGCTTTATGATTACTTCTGAAGTATTAATAGAAAACTTAAACTATTTAGTTTAAAAATTATTTATTAGATCAATAAATCAGATTATTTTGAAAAGGTCATAAGCAACATATTTAATTCAAATTGCGTTAATCCTTTTATAGTGGTAATATGAATAGCAAAGCAAAATATTTGATGAAGTAAAAGAGAGTAATTTTTATTGATTTTTTTTAGCTCAAATGATGAATATTCTTGAAAATCTTTGATTGGACTTTGGGACACTAATCATTAGTTAAGCAGAATAATGAAGGGAAATTAAAGAAGTATAGAGAAAACAAAAAGTGTCATCACAAAATTAAAGCTAAGATAAAGTCTATGCTTACTTGAAAGCCAAGTCTGCTTACTTGAAAGCATACCCCAAAAGAGAGAATTTTAATTAATTAAACGGAAAATGATCAAATATATCATTGACTTTTGAAAAAAAATTATTTATGTTATTCGTTAATTGTTTCCTAGCTCGGTCATTTATCTATTTTTATTTTAGAAAAGGTTTATCCATGTTATTATCCACCAAAACTGACATGGCAAGAAAATAAAAAAAATAAAAGCATGTTTGATAATAAATAAAGTTTTAAAAAAATCAAAATTCTCTTTGTGCTATTACCCTATCCCGGATTTGGCTCCTCTTTAGTAATGGATCCCTCTAGTTCCTTCATTATCTCTTTAATATTTTTACATGCCATAAAAATAATCTGAAGACTCGGATTTATTTGATTAACTAAAGAGTTTTATCATAATTGATATTTCTCTCACTTTCTTTTTGTATAGAATCTTTTCTTCTCTGTCATACTTTAGAAGAATCATTAACTTCCTAAAAAATAATATGCAAGTTTTTTTTTATAAAAAAATGTACCATTCATTCAATTTCATTACATTATTTACTGGGACTCTTTTCATTCTTTACGTGTTTGAAGAATGTTTTTTGATATTTTCTTCTTCATCATATTAAATTTTCTTCAACTTCTACAATTTCAATATATTCATTCTCTTTGACTAAGTCTGATGTTGAAAAAATTGATATATACAGATATTAAATAATCTAACAAAATAAATAAAAATAAGTTACGAAAGAGAATTTCAAAAAAGCCAGATTTGGAAAATACCTAGGATTTATTACCCAAGTCGTACCGTAAGAATGACAGCGAAAGAACTTCTTTAAAAAAAACAATATGAAAACAGAAACTAAGTTTTTCGGGACGGAAAGTAAAAACCAGTGGTGGGTTGGAAAATTATTAATGATTAAAAATAAAATGAATTTAAAGTCCAAATATCAACACTATAAATAAAATCCATAGATCTATTGTTGATTTGCTAAAAAAAAAGTTTGAAAAAATAAACTATGACAAAGAAGAAAGAATTCTAAGCACAGAAAGGAAGTGAGAGAAATACTAACTATGGTAAAACTCTTTAGTTAACCAAAGACAAAGGGAGAGTGGCAATCGAGATGGGAGGGAGACGATTGAGATTTATATACATGTGAATCCACTTGAATCAACATATCTAAAGCAAATTAATTATATGTAATTGCATGCACTAAAATACTAACTAGTGTGCATCAAAGTAATTAGCTCTCAAATGGATGAGATTTTTATAAGTTATACATTAAAAAATCTCTTTATTTGAATTTTTTAATGTTTGGAGTTGTAGTCTCATGCCAAGTCTTTTAACATGTAGTTGGTCATAAAAAAATCCAAGGGAACTTTTGTTTTTCTTGTTGGCGTATTATGTTGAGTAATAAAAACATGAGATGATGATATAGAAAAAATCAAGTCTCTAAATTGACAAATATGACCTTAAATATTTGAGTAAAGAAGTAAACGATGTAAGAGTATTTTGGGGAATTTGCAACATATTTTGTGTGTTGATGTTTTTGTCTTGGACTTGAAAGCAATTGCAACCTCAGTTTCCTCACCATTAAATCTTCTTCCAATTCATGATTCATAAATAAGCTTTTCTTTCTCCAATTTTTTCTCATTGTCCAATTTGGTATTTTTACTTTCTTTTTCTATTCAAAAACTTCAAATAGCATCCATATTCTTATCTTACAATCAAAATATCAAAATCTTGTACAACTTTTCCTCAGGTAATTGTTTATAATAATCTAATATTTAATTATAAGTTTCTTTCGAATAACATTAATTCAGTAATGACGAATTATTATTGAGGCATTTTAATTAAGTAGTGAACAACATATTAATTTTATACTAAAAATCTTTGCTTTTTCAATCATAGATGGTTTTTCTTTAAATAATAAATGAATATTAAATTGCAAATTTTAGTAAAATTTTCTATTATTAAATCATATATAAATAATTAAGGTCAAGGAGGACTGTTTCGTGCACATATATAAGTCCATTTATTATGATCTCCATACTTGTCATTTCGTAATTTCACAGTTGCTCCAAGTGGATCTCGAGAAAATAGAGAATTCCACATATTTTAGTACATTTTTATACTTTTTTTATTTGACCATTATTTTGAATTATATTTTTACTTCACATTTTTAACATATTAAGAAAAAATAATTAAATTTTCTTATATTTTATATTTAAAAATATTGATTACTCATTCTTTAGAGACGTAACATAAATATATCCAGTTAATAAAAATAATATAATAAACTAATCACATCAATCATTATTTTCTTAATAAATATATTTTGAAAAATAAAAGTAAACCAATAGAATAGTTATATACATGAGTCAACTAGGTTATATTATAGATTGTGCATCCCCGGCCATTTAATTCTTTCACTTCTTTTAATTCCTATTTATGTGTCGTTACTATTAAAAATAGATAATATTTTTTAGTATTTGTTATTTCATAAAATCAATACATGATGACACTGTTCTTTTTATATTAACCTATGAAAGTTTTTAGCTTGAAACTTGAAAGTATACATTTATCTAACATAGAAAAATTAAGTACTACATCCCTTCTTATATATGTCGTCTTTTAATAGAACACTTGTCGCAATCACAAAATCAATATGTAAATAACATTATTCTTTCTATTTTATCCTAAAAAGTATGAATTTAATTAACATAGAAAAGTTAAATAATGAGTTCATATACATTAGTGAATGTAATTAATAAAATAAATTAATTTTCTTTCATTTATTAAAAATCTTATTGAGATCACAAAATAAGAGCATAATGATAAATTCACCTAATTTCTTAAGAGATATGAAACTTAAAATAAACAACTAAATAGGAACGGGGGAGTATACACAAATCCCACAATCCATATGACCCATCCTTCATTTTTTTGAGATGCCCGTCTCTTTTGGATCAAGTTTTGATATTTGAGCTTTCTTTTTTATATGTCTATGACCTAACAAGTTATTATCTTTATTATACAAAATTGAGCAAGTTCCAACTTCTTGTTCTTTTTCCATCTTAGAGGTATGTAATCATGGCACATAGATCTAGTCAAGTATAATTAAGTTGAGTAATGTTTAATGACATTATAGATTTATGTCATGTGTAGTGTATAATAATTTATGGTTAATATTTATTTAAATTATATACTCATTATAATAATAACTAATAAAAATGATAAATTTATCAATTTTTTTTTAAAAAAAGAAAAACTATCAAATAAAGCAATTAAGTGTACTAAGCTAATATTTTCAAGAAAAAAATTAAGATTGACGGGAATATGCAAACTTTCTGACTTTTTACCCGCCAAACTTCTTCAGGAGTAATTTCCCACATGCTTTCTTCAAATTCTGAAGTAATCTCCAAAAATAGATCAAACTTAAAAACATCATTGAATTCTAAAATAGTAATTCAATTAAAGAACATGATAGGACAAAAAAAAACATATTTGGAGGTTTTCAAATAATTATAAAAATATTTATTCAGATTTTTCAAAAGTGTCAAATTCTTTAAAATTAGAATAATTTTAAAAATTCAATACAAGTACGAGATTTGACGGGTAAAAAAATCGAGAAGTCCGCATATTCTCGTCAGTCTTATATTTTTTCTTGAAAATATTAGCTTGGGTACACTTAATTTTTTATTTAATAGTTTTAAAAAATAAAAATAATTGACGGATTTGCTGTTTTTATAATTAAAATGAATATAGTTTAAATGGATCTCAACCATAAATTATTATATGATACATATAACATAAATCTATAAGGTCATTAAAAATTACTTGAGCGAATCTTTATTCGTAATTATATTCTTTTTGTTTAGGTTTTTTTATATCGTCAATGTATCTAAAACTTTGAAACTTATATCTTATCTTTACGTAAGAGTTTGCTACATAATGGTTTACTAATTAAGGATAAGCAATTGATCATTATTGTTAGGTATGTGTTTGAGTAAAATAAAAGAAAATACTTATAAATACTTATTTTTAAGTCAATTTAACAAAAATAAATAAAAAGATCGTAAGCTATAATTTTCAATTTATAATTTTTATTTACAAGTCAGTAAATTGAAAATCAGTCCAAACATATACTTGTCACTTAAAAGGAAAAGAGAGCGAAGATTTGAGTTCTTCAAACAAATTTATTAGTCACAATTTTTATATTTAGACATATTATGTTATGGTTTCACTATTATAAACCTAAATCTGACAAATATATTACTATTAAGATTAAATTTAAAACATGTGAAAATGGAAATTTTTTTTTTTCAATAAAGAAATGGAAAATAGGTGACTAATTTAAAAAGAAAAAAAAAGGAATTTTCTCCCCAAACTCTAAAATTATCATCTTCTTCTCCCCACATTTCCCTCATCTTTGCCACTTCACTCTCTCATTTCAGCCATTAATTGAAAGGAAGCTCAATTCACTATTGTATTACAACCCTCTTCTTATGCCTCTAAAAGGGTCCAATTAAAGCCAACTATAAAAGGGTATGCTTTGAGATTTACATTTCTGATGTTAAAATATTAATGGGTATTTTCAAGAACCGAAACAATCTTTGAATTTTGGTATGAAATGTTATTTGCTGAATACTTTTTGTTTGTTTTCTTGTAAATAAAAGAGCTTTGAATAGACTTCTGCTAGTTTTCTATTCATGCATATTCAGAAATTTGTAAACTTGCTGTAGAATTCTAGGAGATGATGCGCTATTAGAAGTATGGGGTGATTAATTAAAGACTGTTTTAGGTGTAAAGTTTGGAACTTTATGATGAAGCTATGTCATTTATGGTGGATGGTTTAAGCATTTCATAGCTATGTATTCTTTGCAATTTACTCAACTTTGAAATGTTATTATCACTTCACCAATTTCAAAATGATTTAAGTTTTTTTTTCTTTATTAGAGTTTCTCTTAAGATTTCCCTGTTAGTCTTCTCATTGAAGAGTGTTTGTTAGGGTCTAACCGGAGATCTTGTTATTTCAAAATAATTTTTTGGATGTTTAGTATTGCATAACTCTGTCATAAATGTAGCTATATGGTCAATGAGGATTCATGTAGCCGACCCCTACTTGCTTGTGATTGAGTCACAGTATTGTTGTTGTAGTGTTATATACTCCCTCCGTTTTAAAAAGAATGAAGAGGTTCAAAGTACGAGGGTGGAACCATCTGCTTTTCCGTATCAATTTGGATGTTGATTTATACATCCTTTGAAATAAAATGTATATAATTATGAGAGTTAGCTTAAATGGTTACTAGTTCTCTTCCATGTTCTGAGATGACCCTCACATACTTTCTTCCCCTTTCCCCGGTTCACGTTCTTTTGTGTGCTTCCGACTTGGTTTGCAGTAATGTATCAAAGATTGTTTAAGTTGTTCAGATTATGTATTTTGAAGTCAATGTATAGCCAAGGTTGAGGACACTGATCCAACACACAGTGAATTGGACTGATGGAAATTAAAGAAGTTTGTTATGTTCCGGTGTCTCTGATTTTGCTTTCTTATTATAGCTAAAAGGATTGAAGTATGTTGTGCTAGTTAGTTTACTGTCCTAATTTGTTTTCTTTTTTGGGAATTAATTCTTTTGGCTTTTGATGCAGATTTCGTACACGCTGGACTTTGTGTTGGAGCATACCAGTAATTGTCTTTTCATTTTAGTTGAAAACTATTAGAAGTTGGATCAGCTGCCTCTTTGGGAATTACCCTTTGTACCCATTACGATTGACCTTTTTAGATAAAAATATCTCCCTTACAGCTGGTGATGAATATAAACTTATAGTTCCTTCATTTTTTGATATCTTGAATGGCTGGATCTTTGTTGCCAGTGGGTAAGGCAGTCCTACGTTCCAGCGAACCTTCCAAATGTTATATGTTCAATGCTGATCTCCAGCATCCGAAGTCAATTCCAATTCTCCCTCCATATAAGAAAAGAGTCAAACAGAATAATACTTTGAACAAGTCAGTGCTCCTAAGTCCATTAGTTTGCCAATACCGGTTAAAACCAGTTTCGGCGCTTGACTCAGATGTTCCCTATCCTATTGAACAGGTACTGATCCCCTTTCATATGCATCTAATAATGGTTGTTGGGCTCATTTTTAAAAGTAAGTTATGGTTCAGTTGGAGGTAATGAAATATGACCTAACAGTGATGTTAAATGTAGAGTTCAGAAGGTTTAAAGAGCAGCGAGAGCTTGCAATGGGATTCATTGACTGCAAAATTTGCAGGAGCTGCAAATATTCCGTTTCTCATATTACAACTGTCTCAAATAATACTGAATGCTCGTAACCTTCTAGCAGGAAATCAAGCTGCATTATTTGCAGTTCCATGGCTGGTATGGCATTCTGCTTCTATTGTAGCTACTTATAGCTGTGGTCTTATTAATGTTGAGAGATAAATAATCTGAGATGAACATAATACAAGGGATGTTCACTGGATTACTTGGTAATTTGTCTTTGCTATCATACTTTATAAAGAAGAGGGAGACGGAAGTGGTTGTTGTGCAAACTTTGGGTGTCGTGACCATTTATGTTGTGATATCACAATTAGCCATGGCTGGATCTATGCCTTTGCCTCATTATGCAGTCACTTATGTTGTTATTGCGTGTGGTCTTGTTGTGAACTTCATGAACTACTTCCACTTGCTCAATCCCGTAATCTGGCGTTACTGGGAGGATTTCATTACTATTGCTGGCTTATCTGCGCTTCCCCAAGTAATCACCCTCTCGTTTCTTTCATTTTCTACTCATCCATATGATGAATTTGGTTGTTAGATTCTTATATTTGTTTGGCATTCTGCACCAGGTCATGTAGTCAACTTTCATCCCATATGTTCCAAATACCATCTTGCCTGGTGCTGTGGCTTTTGTTCTGGCTATCTTAGCTGTCTTTATGGTAAGCTTTGACACTGTAGCTTGTATATATGGTTACTTTTTCAAGTATAATGTTGAAATGGCCATTTCTATTATTCTGCCTTGAAGTGAACAAACTGAAGAAAAATATTGCAATGCCAGAAAAAGAAGATTATTTTTTTTTGCTCGACTTGATAAATAGAAATCTAATTCAACATGTGCACTGCGAGAATACTCAACTCTATGTTCAAATTTATGTTGTTTCTGAACTACTGCAGCCACACAAGAAGCAAAGAAGGGTTTTTTTCTTCATTCATGACTGAGGGGAGAGAGATGATAGCTTCTCTGGCTTGGGGTGGGATAACTAGCTATCAGTCAATTCTTTTCATATTTCTTCCTTAATATTAATAAAAGGTTTCAGTTTTCTGATATAAACTGGAAGGGCAAGTCTAAAGTGGTGGCTCAACTAGGTGATTGAGCGCTTGTATTCCGGATTTGATGATTGTTTATGCTGTGTGTCTTTATGAATAAGAAGATATTCTTTTAAAGGTACAATAATGGACTGCATGTGGAAGCTCGAAATTCTGTAGGGAGGTTGTCACATCTGATTGATGTGCCTGGAAGTATGGAAGCTTCTGTTGTGGCTTACTGCTATTTTATGTCATTTTTGCTCCATGGTGACCATAACTGGAACTTGATCTGAAAGTTTTCTGCTTGCTTTTATTGCATATATCACACATATAAGAGAACGCTTAACTTTCATGTTACCAAATAATGTCGCAAAGGCAGTTGCTCACACATTGACTTTTCTTTACTTTTGATATTGTTAGATTACACACACTAACTCGATTAGGATTGACAATTACCTTGTGTTCATTTTCCTTGGCTCAAGAGCAAGCTAGAGACTTTTGTATGCACTTTCTGTGGGAAGATAATTTTGTTATGCTTGAGAAAATGAGAACATGGTTCTGAATTATTCTGAATTTCAAGCTACTGTTATTTACAGTCTCGGACTGGGAAACTTCCAGAGAAGGGCATCAAATTTGTAGGATCATTATCTGGATGGAAATTGATATAAGCTGTGATAATCTTCCTATTTCAGCGTTGAAACCGAGATCCAAAATCCTCAGAGGCGACGACAAATTTCACATAGAAGCTGTAATTTCACCCGTAAGGTTGCAATTTGAGAGGACTAGCACTTCAAGGAATGAACTTGTTTTATGAGAAGGTTTATAAGTAGCACATTTATGAGAAGGTTTAAGTAGCACATATATGTAAAATATGAGATAAGGTTTAAGGCTTGTAATGCTGATTTCATTGATAACTAGAAATTATTTTGAAAGACAGACTGTTTCTTAGAATCCATGTAACACATTTTGTATTCTTTTCTAGGAATTATTTTACCTTTTAAGAGATTTATACAATAATAGTAAATAGAGAAGTACTGAAGACATGTCGGACTTGCGTAAATTATTATATTCATAATCAAACAATTGATAACCTTAAAAACACCCTTCCACCTCAATCTACCACATAACTTAATTCTTTTACCCCAAATGTGGCTAGTTTAATAAACAAAAAAACTAATTCAAAATAATTTTAAATTTTAAAACAAAATCTTACACCACTATCTTCTTTGGATTTAGCTAACTCGTGAGATTTTATCGAATATGTTATTGTTTCAATGCTTACTTAAACATTACTTTCAAATTCAAATGTACTAAACCTAGTATAAGGTCACATATATCATTTCCTATAACAAAAATTATTTTTATTAATGAAATGTGTCAATGACCATATATAATTACTACTTGTAATTTTAATTTATAAAAAAATAAAAGTAAAAGCAAAGGGGAAGCGCCAGCTTGACCAAAGTCAAGAACGAATCCCTTCAAAATCCTTCCGTTGTGAGCTCCTAACGGATAGCCAATTTAAATCTCTCTTTTCCCACATTTTTCACAATCACAGATTACAGCTTTCTTCTTCGTTTTAGGAAGAGGAGAAGAGGCGTTCATCTGAGACGAAGAGACAATCAATGGCCGCGAAAATTGAATGTTGGAGTGAAGGTACGACCGCTACTTTCTTAGACGTCGACTCATGTGTACTTGTAGGAAAATAATTGGGTTTTGTGTTTTTTCTTGATTACTGGGTTTGATGATTCACATTTTTGTATGTTGGCTAGGGGTTTCTTGTATTAATTTGTGTACGGAAAGATAATCTAGGTGGGTTTTTTGATTTCTTTTTCTGGGGTTTTCTTTCTTGGATAAAATAAGTAAATTGGTTAATGTTACCTTGGGTTTCATAAAAAAATGATTAAAGATTCTTGAAGTTTTTGGTCGAGATTGTGATATTTGGAAGTTGAATTCTTTGTTTATTGACTTCCCTTGTATAAACAAGTTCACTGTCCACTTTGCTTTTTGAAAATTTGAAGAAAGTTCTAATGTTTGTACGTTAATAGGATGAAGGAAAGTTTAAG